CGCAAAAGTTTCGTCGGAACGAATTTACGGAAAATTAACTAACGACTGGAGGCGTAACACTACAAATTAAATATAAAATTGGTAATTGGTTTCAACAATATTAATAATTAACATTACTTAGGAGCAAATAATATTTTTGAAACTATGTCATGTGGTAGCAAACAGAAACTTAAACTGGCCTTCATATTTTGATTTTAAGAATTATTTTGTAACAGAGCGTCTCTCTCGGTGTATCTTATAATTTTCCTTTATTACCTAACAAAAACAATGAAATATAAAGATGTAAGAATATGTAAATCATTGGCTATCATAAATTTTGTATCAATTAAACTTTTACATCACTGAATAATAATATTACTATATATGAAACAGTTTTATATGTATTACCAAAAAACAGCTCTCTACTTTTGACATAATAATCCTATAAGCTACAGACGCGTTTATAAATTTCAAAAACCTTTAGGTCATATAAAAATAAAGGGTTGAAGGATAAATATATAGATCAAATAAAACATTTTCTGTGTGAAAAACTACAGAATGATTAAAAAATATCTGTTCAGTATGTAATACTGATATGCTATGAAACAATGTTGTATGTTTTTTATTATTATTATTTTTTTTTTAATGAGTGCCATTTTGTAGTTTTGAATGAACAAGTTTGTAAGAACCTTTCATTATAACACCTAATGAAGAAAAGTTGACAAAATGTAACAAAATAATGGTATAGTAATTATACAATACTATCTTTTTTTAATAATTTCACACAAATTTTAGGAAAATATTTTTATAAAAATAATGAAAATTTAAACAGCCATCTTGTGGTGTTAAAATAAATTAATTACATTTGCTATATTATTTAATTGTATGCAAAATATATCTTTATATGTATGTATGTTACAAATAAATTCAAAATGTCCATAAATTAAACAGGATGCACATAGATATAAATGAATTTTCTGCTACTTTATCTTTCTTGGTGCGAGTGGGAAGAGAGCAAACTGAAAATTATGAATTATTCATTTTGATCACATTTTAAGTTACAGAAGTATAATACCTTGAAATTCAGTACTATTTATTCTTTTATAAACATGGAAAAGCTAATAAATCTGAACTTTTCTTATACAGTGAGAGCTTTCATAGTAAAGTTAATTTACCACAGTCTTGTTGAGAAAAATACAAGTTTAGGTAACAAAACCCAGTATTAAGAGATATTTTGGCCTGAAAACCATCAGCAATAAAATAATAATGCATTATACAACACACACACTGCTACATATGGCCAAGATATCAGAAAAAAAATAGCTCAACAATTCCAGACCCTTACATTGGGTTCTGGTACATCCAGACCTATTGGCCATGTACAATATTTGAGTAAATTCTCAAGTGAGAACATGAACTGATACATCTGTTACTATGGCATACAAAAGAGGACTGAAGGAGAGCTGTTTAGCACCTTAAGACAACCAAGTTACTGTAGTTAAAAATGGCTGTGCTTCAAAGACAAAACAACAGTATGCAAATAGTAGGGCTTTAAAACTGAAATGGAAATGTGACTGGTTGAAAAACAATATAAAAGACATTATACTGTTTGCTTACTGACATACTGTAGGATATCAAAACACACAAATAATCCTACTATATCAGCCAGGGAAATCTTTACTAGCTAGCTATACAAATGTGAAAATAAACAATTCCTTTGTTGGCAGAACATTCCTGGTGGTAATTGTCTGAATGGTTAGCCATAGTAGGTGCAAAACCTTGCTAGAGCCATACCTGAATGTTTATATTTTAGGTTGATGGATGGGCCTATGTAAAGCCAAGATGATATTTATGAAGAGCTAGGAAGCAGAAGAGACAATGTTCTGACAGACAAAACCAGAAATTATGCAAATACAAATTCTGTGTAACTTATATATCCTGTCATCGCACTGTGGACAAAGAAAAGATAATGCTATCAATGTCTCTTCATATTCCCGACACCAAACTTTCATCAAGATGTTTTGTACACCAACAATTTGGATTGAAAGTATTTCTTTCTATATTGGTAATGACCAAGTACAGCTATTAATGATAGATGTTCATGGTAATACTCACTCTCATTTAGGAGTTTTTTTTTTGTAAGTGGTTTTTACTGAGAATTAACAGTAAGAAAAAAAAAACGTGATATCTAAAGTTAAATTTGCAAAAGGAATTTCTAAGTACAAAACTTAATAATTTTTCATGTTATTTATAGACAGTGAAAAATATGCTTATCTTTGACATCAGTTTTGTATTAACAAAGTAAAAAAAAAGAAAAAAGAAACTACTTTTAATTTCCTGAAATATTATTTGAAAGTTAAGAAGTAAATTTTTTTACAAAACTGCCAGACAATAGATATAGTTTAAACTTTATGTTTCAATAACTTGAGGTTTATTGAACATTGAAATACTGATCTATTTTGAAACATCTCCAAGTCTATAAGCAGACGGTCATCATAATATATATATACGTTACACTGAAGGTAACAACAACAACAACATTAAAGGAACAGAAATAGTAAAACAGTGTGGGTGTGTGTGCAAGCATATCACTGATATCTAGAGTTTTGTGAAACTAATAATACGTGATGTGTACAAGTTTCAAACTTTTTTTTAGCACTGCAAAATGCTTAGTCATTTACCTATCAATGTAAACTGTACATACTGTTCAACAACCACATATACTGTTTAACTTTAAAGCTACAATTATGGTCCTAAAATAAAAATAAATTACGTTGTGTTAATATTTCTTACCATAACATTCTGACTTGTAAATAATTTAAGCAAAATTTATAATAATTACAAGTCACTTGTTTAATCTGGTTCACACCATAACAGTTATTTTTCAGAAAAAAAAATGATATACAGACCACTACTATGTCTGGTGTATCCCAGACTTGAAGAGCCCTAGCATTGGAAAAAAAAAAAGACTTCATTGGCACTAGATTTGACAGATGTAGTGTGGTTGAAGTATTATAACATACTCTCCTTTCCTTTCACTTGTGGGTACTTCGAATGTAATTAACATTCCAAAATAAGCATGTCTGTTACTAGTTTATATTATGAAATCAGAATATTAGTTTCAGCTTGCTTCTATTTCACATAAATAATGCACACCTCAACACAGGCTCAAACTATTTATTTATTGTATAAAATATTCTTAGTTTTACAGAAATGTAACCTTTCCAACAATAACTCTTTCCTTATGACATTGCTCTCAAACTTCCAAAATTGAAACTGGAAACCAGCCAGTTTAGGTAAATATATTCTGAACATTTCAGTACACGTTTGGTACAAAAATATGGCTTAATAATTTTAGTCTCAAAACTCATATACCAACAAGGTTCCCTAATTGCAACTTTGAACTCTGTTACACACAAATAAAAAGTTTTCACTTTGTTCTTTATAAAAAAAAAAGGACATATAAGATCAAAAGAAAGTGAAATATGTATCCCTAGAGTCTACTACAATGGCATCAATTTTTGACTGAAACAAGTCAGGTTGGAATGCTTATTATCATTTCACCTGGTTACAAATACACATAGCACTAAGTCGACTGTTACCTTTAAAACACTGCAGGTTATTTTATAAGTAATGTAACTGTAAGAGGTCAAAAATCTAAATGAATTTAGGTGAACAAGAGAAACAACTAAATTAATTACTTCAATGACCTACTTTGCACGACTTCTAATATCCGTTATCATTTAGATAAATCTACCGAATAAGTAAAATATAATCTAAATATAATGATAAGAATTTCTTATATTAAAAAAAGCAAATCCTTACTCTTAAGAATAACACTTATAAGTATGAATATTACATGTTACATATATAACTCTAATAAAAAAAATATTTCATTATGCCAATTCTCTCAAGTTAAACTTTTCCTAGAAAACTATATTGTTCTAGATATTGGCGAGCTGGTAACGACAACAAAAAAATCAATGGCACTTGTAGAAACAATCAGTTAAATATTAAAGTTCACGAAATTTGTAAACAAAAATATACTAACATTTATTAATATAAAATTTGTTTTGTTATAAACGAGAACTAACAAAGCATACAAGCCACATAGGCTAATTCCAAACCAATAAAGTAAGAGAAAATAAAACCCACCCGCCGCCCTTGTCTAAGACAGGTATTAACCAACTCAAACCACACTTTTTTTTTTCTCCTAAGCATTCGAAAAATAAATCTAAATAGTAAGAAAAAATTAAAAAAGAAAATTTATTACTGAACGTAAATGAACATGATCCATAAATTCGTTGTCATGGAATGTGCTATGTCAAAACCCAGCTTCGACATTTTCCATGTGCGGCACAACATTTATCAACCAACAACAACAATAAAAAGTCTGATCTGTGTGTTCTAATCCACCAATCGTTGATAACTTGTAGCTGCAGAGATCATGTGATTAAGTACGGTCCAGCCGACTTCCTAGTAAGGAGAATCTGGTCCCGCCGGATCCACCGATACCACAGAAAAAAGCCGGTTTCCATTTTAGGGCACTTGGCCTTTCACATGGCGCCCTCCAGCAAGGCCGGCTATGACTAATAAGGGAACGAAGACTACTATAAAAGGAAATGGATACACCCTTCCTGGCCATATATGGAAAGACGTCTAAACCCCGCGAGAGAAAACCATTGACAAAATCTCAAGGACAAAGACAGAGAAGCGAAGGTTTTCGGCGGTGTGCCTGAGAACCGCGGCGCCCGGCGCTACACGTGCATCAGGTCCGGTGCTGAACTGGTCGTTGTTGCTGCGTCTCGCTGGTCTGGATGTCAAAAGTTGTCAGTCGAACGAGGTCCACACTAAATTGTATAGAAAGGGGGTAGTTTCTGCATGTTGTATTCGGGAACCTGGGCGTACATTTGGGGCTGGTGGTAGGACATCTGCAGAAAGGAGGGAGGAGAAAACAGAAAGGGGAAAAACATGCATCAGTGCAAACGTCTAATGTTCAGGTCTCTTTATGAAGTCAATAATGGTGCAAATTAGGGCTGGCCTATTTCATTCTATACTTTTTTATTGTTTGTTTGTTTAACATTTTCACATTACTTATTCAACCCATCTGGTTTTAGAGAATGGCCACTGCCCTGGTGAGCGGCCAACGCTAATTATGCACCACTATGACAACCAGTCATCACTATATCGTTGAAGAATAGAAGCAGCTCACAACAACTAGCAGCACCGGACCTTTTCTTGCTTACTTTTTCTTTAGTTTACTTAGCACTGCAATTAGTAGAACTGTCTTTCTTCAAGTAGTTGGAACTTAATTAATTCCTGTAGCACATACAATTTGAGTAGTTATAATAACATTACTAATAACACAGAAAATGTAGTAAATGTTTTAAAATATTTAACAAAGAATCTCTGAGTCAACCTTACCAAATGGTGTAATTTGGGTAACAAAGTAGGGTCCATACGAGATTCTGGAATTTTGGAATAAAATATATGGATATGTAAGACTTGCCCTGAGGAGTCTTTTTGATGTTGCTTTTTCTATAGATGTAGAGGTCATAGTTATATTATCTCACCACTCTCACTGCTCTGGTCATGGCTGTTCATGTCTCCTGACGATTCTTTAGACATTCCTGGTTCGTAGACAGATGCGCTTTCTTACAGTATTTTTTCTAGTGGAAATTTTTCTCTGGTCTCTTTTATGACTTGTTTTCTCTGCAACTGGTATTCCATCATGGTCACATATACATCTGTTGAACTGCTTACACATTTAATTACTATCTTCCACTTGCAATTAAGCTTTGAATCTGATACTTCTGGCACCTGTTCAACCTCGACAGAAAATCTTCTGGTTTTCCTTGCACTTTCTGATAATTAATGACTTTACAAGAATATCTACATATATTATATTACAATAACACCATGACATCAGGTAAAGTTTAGTAAAAAATTTCTTCATCTATCAAAATATAAAATCCTTGTATCTCTTCCAAATCATTTTTTTAGATTGACAAACTGTTGAATTCTTCAAACAACAGTACATATTCATTAAAATTTCCAAGAGTTGAGGAAATATGAATGTGTGCCTCCCGAGGGTGGAACACCGTGCATGGTTTAGTTGAATCAGAGATTCATAGTTAAAAAAGATATATTATCAGTTACAAATATATAGGTTTTTTAAGAGTTGAGTAAAACTAACTAAATTGTATGTTTACAAAATCAAATATTATTTGGAAGAATACAAAACAATAAGACTCAGAAGCTACAAATTCACTTTATATCCTTATCCGTGCATGGTTTAGTTGAATCAGAGATTCATAGTTAAAAAAGATATATTATCAGTTACAAATATATAGGTTTTTTAAGAGTTGAGTAAAACTAACTAAATTGTATGTTTACAAAATCAAATATTATTTGGAAGAATACAAAACAATAAACTCAGAAGCTACAAATTCACTTTATATCCTTATCGCATGCCAGTTACATTTATCTGGTTTTGTCTCCTTGGTGGTTCGTGTAAATTACTAAAGCTGTATTGTACGGGTATACAATATTTATTAGTGATAGGATTTACACTGTAATTTAAAAAAAAAGTTTGCAAACTCACAAAAGAAAATAAATATATTTGATAAATTATCTTAGTGGTTACCATATTTTTAAACCCTGATATTACCCACACAAAATATATTGAATCCTTATTGCTACATTGCAAAAAACCACAACTAAAAGATAACATAGCTTCAGCACCACAATTATTGACATTTAAGATACTTTTCTCAGAAGTATGTGGGTACAGACATAACACTGCATCAACTAACAGCAATACTGTTTTATGTATGTCTCTAAAGTCTAACTTTGAAGATGACGAAATAAATTTTAAATTCCATTCACTTCATAAAAACTTTTAAAATATAAAAAAATTATTTTTCTGAAAAACAAAATCTGTTTTTCTACCCTAACCCACTTAACTAAAAAATATTATTTGAACTTTAAAAATAGGTAACTTGTAGAAATATAAAAGGCAGGATAAAACCTTACTAAGTTATTTTTTAATCCATTCTGATCCCCAAGGAGGATTTTTTTTTACCCAGCATTTGATGTTTACAGACATTTTGTAGTCTAGCAATTTACATCTGGATTTTTCCCAAAACTTCTTGAAAAATCAAACGAGTGAGGAAAAGTTGAGTGCATGCATTTGATTACTAAATATATATATGTTGTGTTTTATGTACCACTTTACATAACTTTTTTTTCTCAACCATTAAACTTAAGTATAAAGAAGTTATATACAAAACCTTGTTAATATGTAGTATTTCACATATAATCAAATACTACTCTACCATTATTAATATATAATGTTACTTCACTTACTTTGTTTTCTGTATCCTCATTCACACTGTAGACAAGTTCAGTTTCTTCGAAACCAGTAGCACTCATCCGCTGGTCAGGCCCCGAGCCACCTGGTCCAGCCGGGGGATCAGGAGAGTTTAGACAAGTTTGAATTAATGCTTTTCCAGCCTCACTAGTGATCATAGGTTGTAATTTTCTAGTAGCAAATGTATAAACATGTCCAGTTTCACTAGCTACCAGCAGCATTACTTGGGTACCTGTCAGTGTTGACAGCTCGTAAGCCTGATAATGGAGAAGTACACTGATGAGCAATTAAAATGAACATTAAATAGATCATGTCTATTACAGTATGTATACAAATGTTATAAAAAAACCGTGCGTGTCTAGAAGGAATTACTAATACTCCTAAAAAAGTTGTTCATTCTGCAGTTTAAATCATAAGTAAAGATTTTGTTGAATTAATTAGTATAATCAAAGTGGGTTAAATGTCCAGTTGCTTAAAAAATAAAAACAAGTACAAATTAAAGTAGAATTCCCCCCCTTAATTTGAAGAGTTATACAATATAAAACTTAAACTATAGTCAATCACAAAAGCTTAAAATGACTACTATGCCTCACTAAAAATTCCATTTCTAGTTTCTTTTTAACCTGAATATAACAATTATTGTATATTTTTATGACAAAATTTGGGATTACTAAAGTCTGTTTTTTGCTTTAAAAAAACATTTTCAACTAATATAAAATAATACAAAAATCCACATAGTAGGATAATAAATGCTTTGAATCAACTTTTTGTATTTCAGTATGCTTAAACTAGTATTTTTATCTCATGATAATTAAATAACAGCTGTAGTTTGCAGAGAAACTGGTATCAACATGTACTTTGTGTTAGATATACAAGTAGAAACTAATAAATAATGGTTTAAACTGGGAATGCAGCTAACTTAACAGATTAAAATGCACATACACACACAGTTAAGTATCAATAAAATAAAAACGTAGACAATTATTAACAAATCTCACAACCTAGTAGACAAGAAAAACAAAGAAAGATTATATCAGTAAACACCATAGTTATACTCTTAAAAAAACTAATTTTTATATCGAAGTGTGTAAAAAGAAATAATGAAATGAATCAGGACTCATTATACATAATTGGACAGACATTTTACAATAAAAAATTTAAAGTACATGACAGGGCAATGTGGGGAGTAGAAGTAGGGTGTAGTTACAAAATTAAGCACTTGGAAAGTTATAGCATTGTATATTTAAATATTTTTAACGATAGGGGTACCCACCTAATGAAGCAGTGCATTCTAGCAGTATGAGCAATATAGTTTGAACATTGTATTTAATTAGTTATGCTTACATTTTTAATTTAGAACTACACAGATAGTTTATTTTGATCAGAAGTTAATATTGATAAATTCTATTATTCTTGTAAATTTTTTTCCCTCCTACATTTTGCTTTTTCAGCTATGTGATTTGTTTCATTAATAACCATTACTTCTCATATATATAATTTGCACAAAACTAAAGCCACATTTGAGAACTCTTCGGTAACATATACTCCCATAACTATGCTAAAAATGTATATAACTATATACATTTTGCTTTTTCAGCTATGTGATTTGTTTCATTAATAACCATTACTTCTCATATATATAATTTGCACAAAACTAAAGCCACATTTGAGAACTCTTCGGTAACATATACTCCCATAACTATGCTAAAAATGTATATAACTAATTTTAAGTTAAATTAATGCTTGCATTCTCGAGACATTTTTCACTCTGGTTAAATGTTAACAAAATGAAAAGTATTAAATATAATTTATTCATAGCTTGTTTCACAACTGAACTAATACTAATATCAACTGTACTTTTGAACCAACTAAAATAGTTATACATCCATTAAATCAAAGTATGGTATTCAAGTTAGAGCAGTACAATTAACTCAGAACCTAAGAGCACTGATCACACTGATGAGTGTTACATAAAATAACCAAGTAATTCCATTTATTACCATTTTTGATTATTCCAACTATCCAAGAAATCAAAATATGACCATTGTGATTTCTCATTATTTTTTATTAATTCAGGGTTATTCAGTTCAATCAACGAGTGTATGTAATCAACTTATGAGCATCACAATTAACTGACTATCACATTCCACTAATCACCCAGTTTTAGTTAAAATTCAAAGGTGACAAACCCCTCATGAAGAAGGCATTCCTATCTTGTACAGTACATCCAACCAAAACTGATAACTAACAAAGTTTTTGTGACAAGTTACACAGAATATATAGTGTTTTAAATTAAAAGAAAGGGTACATATTAATTTATTCAAATATTTGGCAAATTATCTTTAATTATATTAAGTGCAAGGTAATGCATTTGGATTATAATTTGAATCGCGTGTTAAATATAGATGGGGACCAACACAGTAGTGTGACCGAAGAAAAGAAACTTTGCACATTAGTTGATAAATCACTCAGGCCATTGAATCAGTGTTTTGTTTCTAGTTATATAGCTAATAGAACTTTGTAATATATTTACAGACATACTGAAGTCAAAAGAGGTAATCATCTCCATACAAATCACTAGTTAGGCCTCATTTGGAATAATGTTTAAATTTTCGGTCTCCTAATCTAAGAAATAAAACTGACTTATTGAAAAGAGTTCAGAGGAGGGATATTAGGATGATTTCAGGAGAAGAAGGGTTATATTATAGAGATAGGTTAAGGTTTCTAATTTTTCTTGATTAAAGAAGGATAAGAGGTGAACTTATTGAAGTTGACAAGATTATTGATTGGATCAACAGGATAAAGGAATTTTTTGTAGATAATGATATGAAGGGATCCAAGTTTAAGACTTGGAAAAAGACAGGCTTTGCTAGTGTTAAGACAGTATAGTTTTTTTAAGAGAGTGACGGACTTATGGAATAAGTAATTGTTGCCAATAGTGGAGACTAGCATTTTACAGGAGTTTGGGGGGGGGGGGGATTTTCTGAAAAGTAACAGGTAGGTTTAAGTTTCTATTTTTTTCAAGGGAGGATGTGCAAGGACAGCCTTGAAAAACCAACAGCTCCCTTGTGGTCTATCAGTTATGTTATGCTAATTAATGACTAATTACAATTTAAGCCTAAACAATTAAGCTTGAAACATTCTTACTAATTCAAGAAAGCAGGCTGAAAATAAACATTTCATATGCCACACTTCCAAGTATATGGAACTCAGTGGTAAATGAAGAATGCTGAAGTTGATCAAATAAGGCCAAATAAAAAAAGATGCTCTTAGGCTAAGAGTGGCTATTAGTCTATTAACTTAAAACTTTATATCTGACTTAAAAGATATAAAAATTTTACATGGTCTTCAAAAACAGTTACTGGTAATACTAAACTTTTAAAGAATTTATATATGCATAATGTAACTTGAGATTAAATGAAAAACAAAAACATTTATATTATCACTAGTTAGGTGTAAGCAGAATTGGCTATAATATGATATAAACTGTATTTTCAACGTTTTAATTTCGATGTTAGCTGGGGGGTGTTGAGGTTAAGCCTTACTAAGTGCGACTAAGAACTAGACAAGGTAAAAGTTACAAATATGAGTAAGCAGTTAGTGCGAGTGCCAGCCAATCAGTGAAGCACAAAGCTCAGTTCATTCAATGACTGAGAAGATAAAGTATTCAGGTTAGTGTTAGTTATTTCTTATATTCAATTACTCTATCAATTAGCTGTGAACTTATTAGTTTATTTGTATGTTAATCATAGTAATATTATTTATTATTAGTAAGGAATTTCCATTAAAATGTTACTTGTGAACCTGGGCCTACAACTTGTGTCAGAGTGAACACAGTTGTATAAACATTATAAAAGACTAATTTAAAATAGGCTCCTGAAGATGGAACTTGTATAATCCAAAGCATTCAAGTATTAACATTTAAATATCTTTTTCTACTTCACAAGTGTCAAACATTTTTTGCTGTTAGTGTTACTTTTGTTCATCATCACGTTTCACAAATGCATAAAAAACCCAATAACATTTAATAAAGAAAAACCTTTTAACGATTCTAAAGGCCAAAAAAGTAAAAGAAGGACAAAAATATTTCTCCCAACCCCCCAAAAAAAGTATTTATATACAATTTCAAGTTTCGCCAACACCGTCATAAACTTATCACCGACCTGATAAGAAAAACACAACTGATCAACAATTCAACTTTAAATTTTTTAATTGGTAAATACGCAAACCTTTTTCATAATTCCAGTTTTTCTTTTGCTGAAAGTTGTATATCGTCGCAATTTGTTATCGATAAATTCCATTTTTATCTTTACACGACCCTTCGTTTTCTTCCCATTTGGTGGAGTTGTTTTCTTTGACTTGTCCGACGCGTTTCCGCCTTCATTTTCAGAACGGCCAGGAAGTCCAGCTGCCTCAGCCGTTCGTTTTTCGCCACCAGGGCTACCCGCATCTTCTTCCCTTGAGTCTTCTTCACTGTCACCACTAAATCCTTGTGTTAAAGGGTCTACATTTTCTATCATGAGTCCAGCGTGATTGGATTCGTGTCCAACTGATGAAACTCTCTGCATTGCTATCACGTCACTTCACTCCATTCACTCGTTCTCGTTCTGCTTCTACTACACAAATAACATTCAACCCTTACACTAAATTACACAATATGAGAGCACGAGTAAAAAAAGCGCATGCTCTAACAGCTTCGTGGAATGATGTGTTCATGCATAAAAAAATAGTTCTACGTAACTATATGAATTTCTATAATTGTTTCAAAATAACATTTTAATTTATTTAATACGAATCACTAATGAATTAAGAAGATAAACTGTTATCCATGATATAAATAACGCATTAACAACAAATCTATGTTAAAACGAGTAATGATACATATGAAACATGTTAACAGGGGAGGGCGGTGGCTCCATGTTTGGAAAACCGTGTTTCCGTATAAGGAATACGTGGCCATATATGGAAGACGATAAGGAGTGTAAGGTATTTGCTCAATCTTATTAATGTTGTTGCTGGACGACTGCCACTAGAGCCAAATGACTAAGTAATATAAAATTAACAAAAATTTTGTTGAATATTGAAGATAATAAGTATTTTAACTTACATTTCTACAGTTTCTTCATATACGTATTGATATATTCAAATAAGAAAAATACTTTTCAAATAAATACTTTTATTGTGTCATTTTTTTGCTGTAAACTGTAACTGTTTGTGCCCTTTGGTATGTAAGATGTACAAAGTTTCGTGTTTTGTGTAAGGACTTTAGAATCAGGGGTTTTCCTGGTGTGCAGTTGATCACAAATTGTACACCTTTAAAATATTTGTGTGGTTGAAATTTCACCTATATATGTAAGTTCAAGTGGATAAATATTAAAAAAAAAACATAGTTAGGATTATATAATTCCATTCCAGAGTTGATAAATAAATGTATTTAATAGAATATTCTTCTTCTTTTTTGGATTATTTGTTACTAGGCCTGTATATATGAGATGCAATAAGACATCATGTATTTAAAAATGATAGAGTTAAAATATGATTGTGCAGTTAAAAAAATCCCGAGGAAAAGCTCTGTTTAGAACTATGATATAATATATATTTTTGTAAAACCGTCTTATCGAACTGTATCATAAACACAAATTTGGCGTGTATTTTGCACACTTACACTTGTATTTTGTATTTTCCCCTTCACTGATTTCCCTCAGAGTAATTAGTTAGAACCAGATTCGAAAGATACCAAGTTACGAAGTTACCTAAAGTTAAAATAAGATGTAAAAATTACCAAAAGTTAACCTAAAGTTCAGCAAAATATAAATGTTAGCAAAAGAAAGTAATAAAGAAAATATCTCATTCTTAGCAAAAACAAGACTTCTAAAAGTTAAGTCACAGAAAAATTTCATCAAAATGTTATCAACAAAGGAGAATCAGGCTTTTAATACAAAACTCAATAAGAACTTAAGCCAGGTTTGCACATGACACACTATTATGCACGTGAACTCTTCCACCCTCATGCTAAAATGCTGAGGGGAGGGAAACCCCAGATCATTACCCGTTTAGTTGACAGAAAAAAAAACAGTTTTTTATTCTTGGATGTCTCATGCTAGCTTCCCTGCAAGAAACTCGATTAACTGCCAACTAGTGAAGAGCTGCAAAAAGGCAAAGCTAAGATGTGTTTACTTGAACGATTTTCCATTTCTAAACTTATCTGAGAAAGATACAGATATTTCAAAAAGTTGCGTATTAACTAAGATAATATAAAATACACCGTGTTGTCTTGTTCTACAAGGTACTCTGCCATAACAGATATAGTGTAAACTACTTTACTATTATTTTCTATTTTGTTTTACAAGTACAACTGAGCTAAGAGTAGAAGGAAACTTGCATGATATATGTATTATGTGTTTCATACTGATATATTAATTGTTACTTTCGTTATTATACACTAACTACATAGATTATTGTTATGATATTATTAGACAGCGGAAGTCACGTGACGCTGCTGGCGCATGCGTGACTGAGTTTCTCGAATTATTGGGGAAGTCCGCGAATTTTGGAGATGCCTCTTCGTTAGTATTGTTACGACAGCGGTAGTCACGTGACCCTGGTAACACGTCATGCGCTTCTAGAACGTTCATGAAACCTCGAGAGGTTACTAGATATACGGTATTCTTGTATATAAGCCGCCAAGAACTGACGGCAACAATGGGTAATTGAACTGCGGAGAGAGAGAGAGATGTATTGTTGAGCGAGCACGTGAGACGTTCATTGTGAATTATAGCGTCTGTTATAGCGCGACTGT